ATTTTAAATAGTAAAAATATTTCAACATTTTACTGTTTTTGCTGTACTTTGGATCAAATAAATGCAGCCTTGGTGAGCAGAAGAGAATTCTTAAAACAAAACTAAAAAACAACAACATTAAAAATCTTACTGTTCAAAAACTTTTGACAGGTAGTGTAGGCTGATTATTCTTATAGATTGAAACAAATGTGCTTCAGACAGAAAAAAGGGTATGAAAAGTGCTCCGAGTCGCTGCAGAAAACAAAAAAATGGAATGGAAATGTTGCCGAGACGGGCTTATTTAAAATGCAAACTCATTGTCTGCCAGCAGGAGGCGCTTTTAGAGTGATAAAACTAGCGGTTTCTCCAGTAACGGCTGTAATCAAAGCAGCTCCGCTCATGAACGCTACTTTATCAGATTAAATGAAAATGCCATCAAAACTTTTCTGAAGACAGTCAATTCCCTTCAGAGATACATTCATATAAAACACCCACGCCGTGTTATGATTTTGAAACGTGCAGTTCTCATGTTTATTCAACGAAGTCAAACGGCACAAATAAATCAATGTATGGTAAACTGGTAATGCATATCGAAATATCGGAAATGTGTTTCATATCACCGTTATTGAAAAAAATTATATCGTGATACACATTGATATTGAATTATTGTCCAGCCCTAGTTAGAACTTGTCAGATGTTAACATATGAAGGAGATGATGGATTTATAGACATGTGACAAATATTAAACCTGCACTTGACAATCTCTAATGGTTTGGAGAGCCATGACTCTGAAGATGGTGCTACCATGACCTACAAACCCTGAGCTAACCCAGATAAGGCTAATCAGGCCCATTCCTGATGTGACTGCTCAGGAAATCTCTGCTAGCAGCTATGCCTACGAGGCCCAGCAAACTGACAGGAAGAGTTTCACATCAATTAGAGCCAGACATCGTTAAAGTGGAACTGAACAACTATCCATTACAATAACATTGGCTACATCTCCTCCACATACACAAGATGTCAAATGCATGGAAGAGCACCTGATAATGGACTCAAACATCTGCACACAAGGCTGGAGAATCAAAACGGTCACACGTAATACCATGATTTGATACGGTTTAACTTTGAGTTCATTTGTTTGTGGTATGTTGTTCAGTGTGCGTCTCATGATTAGGTGGCAAGTGAACATCTGAAACATGAAATGCGGAGCAGATAAACAAGACCAACCCTTATTCTGAGAAAACCTGGATTAGTATGAGTGTGGGAGAGTACAAGCTGACTTCCTCTGAATAATGAAAAGTGCCCATTAAGTTTGAGCTGGGAGTCATCCTGAAAGTATGTCACTGAACAAGTCTGTGCAGGGGTGGTGAAAACTTCTCGGCCTCCTAAGAGAAGACTGACTGTGTTTACATAACGCAACGTCCTGCCCCAGGCCTTCCAGCTCTTTTCCTCATTCACAAAAGCTAAACTGCCACTCTCAGCTCTAGCAGACTTAAAAAATATGACAGCTACACCCATTAATACGGGTGGCAGGGAGATTCAGCTGTCATAACACACTTAAGGTAACAGTTCAGCCAAAAATAACACATAAAATGGTACACCCAAAAATGACATTTCTGTCATCATTTACTGACCCTCACATCGTTCCCAGCCTGTATGACTTAAGGTGTGATCAAATTAGTTAAATTTCAGCAAATTTTGCGGCAAAACCTCTGCTGTCTATTGTCAATAGGGTTGCGATGTATAAAACAACTCACACGAAATTAAATTTTAAACTAAGCAGCTTTCTGTTTGTAATGTCTATGTCAAACAGAAGAAAGTACATCATTCATATAGGTTTGGAAAGGTTTGAATTTTCACTTTTGTGTAAACTATCCCTTTAAGACCTTTAAGTTATTGCAGCTGGTAAAGGTATGGCTGTCAATACAACTTGCATACACAAAACTGGTCAAATGGTATTTGTGCGTTTCTGTTTTTGTGTTGCACAAAGATATTCATGTTTGGAAAAAACATCAGGGTGAGTAAATAAATATGATGTTGAGATATATTTGCTAATACATTCAACTAAGTAACATGAATGATTAATCAAAAATATGCTAATCAAATGAGGAGCAAAACTAGAAAGACTATCTCCTCACAGCACTCTTAAAGAGATAGTTCATCCAAAATGGAACATTATGTCATCATTTGCTCACCCTCATACTATTCCAAACCTGTATGACTTTCTTATATGAAAAATAAATGATGTTAGTCAGAATGTTAGCAACTCGCAGTCTCGGTCTCCATTCACTTCCATTGCATCTTTTTCCTTACAATGAGCGTGAATGGTGACTGTCGCTGTCATTCTTCCTAGCATCTCCTTTTTGTGAGGACTATTCAATGAACGCACGGCTTCGTTTACTTTTTATTGTTTTAAAACAACAGATATAGTGTGTCATAAAAAATGCTGTACATTACAGCGGGGTGTGAAAGTGAGCGCTAGTAGGATGGATCAATAAAAGAAGCGACCCATACGGACGCCATATTGACCAAAACAAAATGGCAGAACAAGAGGATAGTTGACAAAGTCTGCAGGCTTTCGTTGACAGATGTCTTCTCGTGACACGATAAATCCGCAACGACGACTATTAGATCTGGGTAAGATAATCTGACTCGATCGTGCCGAGTGTGGCGTAATATCGCTAATACAGCGATGTCATGTTATCTTAGCTTAGCTCAGCCCATCCACACTACGAGCGACGCGACGCACTAGATCGCTGTATTCAAATATAAGCATACTAAATGTCATGTCACGCATACTTGGAGTGCAGACAGATTCGTTTATTATAATGGAAGGGTTTAAGTTCAGCATAAATGGGGCGGACAGGAAGCTAACGAGATCTGTAGTAAATTGCTTAGGAAATCAACGTAATGTCTTCAATTAAAGCAGCCGATCTGATGGCGATCAATGTCTCGATTTGGGGTTTCTTACTAGTGTGTCAGCAAACCCACGGGTCTGTACCTGGAGCTCGGCCCTCTCCACTTCCCAATGCGCCCTTTCCATCTCGAAACGGGCCCATTCGTGCTGGATGTAGTGTAAAATCCCCGGGATAGTGTACTGCTGGGGCCTGGGCATCTCGTCTTGCTGTTGCTGAACCATATGCGCTCCTCCAGCGCTGGCGATCTGGGGATTAATGCTGCTGTTGCCCTGCTGCGGTGCGGGCTGCTGCTGTCTCTGGGCGGCCATTCCTCCTCCTCCTCCTCCTCCGCCGGGCTGTTCATCCATGTTTTAAAATAGGAAAGTCCTGCTAGAAGTCGCCGATTGTTTCCCCTCAGCCCTCCCTACTTCACCGTTCGTGCAGAGATGCGACGTCGCCCTGCCCCGCACGAAATCGGCTGGCACCTGAGCGGCTGTAGTGGATTTCGTGTCAGCGCACAGATTTGCCGGCCGCCATTAGTCCGATCCCTGGATGTGAGTCTCCTACTGCGGGGGTGAGCGAGGGAGGACTGTGGCGCGCTGCATGATGGGACGCGTTCACCCAACCCTGCGCTGTCTCGAGTCATCCGAATACAAACTGACGGACGGACACTGCGCATGCGCTATGCAGCGACCAGATCAATGACAGGCTCTGTACCTGACGATATAAAAATGTGGCCTTGAACAATAGATATACTGTATACATATATAAAGTAGGGCGGACGTAAGTAAAATATTAAATAGCTTCAACTGGTATTTGTTTTCTTTTCATAATTTAAAGATGCACTCTATATTGCTAATTTCAAATATTTTTCCTATGATTTCCGAAATTCCGATGATGTACACTAGCGTAAAAAACATATATAATTTATCAGTTTACAAATAACAACTGGGATCATTTTATTTACTATTGACATCATTTCTATTTTTTTTCCACATAAAAATGTGGCATAGCAGAAAAATCGCAATATATACAGTAGGGCAGGCAGAGTGAAAAATATCAGACCTTTTCCCCTTTTTTTTCAGAATTGAAAGAATATCAAATATTTCACACTCTTTTAAAAATTAAAAATAAATAACAGCCACTGAGAAATATTCAAATGATGTAAACTAACATGATGGGAAAAAGCTGTATTTTTCTACATGGAGCAGGTCGCCCCCTCATGGACGCTGCCATGTTGCCGTCACATGACCAGCTGCCAAACAATCCACTTAGCAGTAATCATTTTACAGTAGTAACATTAATTGTGGTAACTGTGGTATTTTGGTGAAAATTATGGTTACCAAAAATAATGTTATTTATCAATTTACAAATAACTCTTTTTTTTTTAGAAGATATTTTATATACCATTTTTTTTTACCCTTCCAGATGTTTGCTGACGTAATGACGTAATTTCTCCTCCTTTCTAGCGGCGGCCACTCTTCTGAATTACTATGATCAAGTTCCTACTTATGGTCAACAAACAGGGGCAGACTCGCCTCTCCAAGTATTATGAGCAAGTGGAGCTGGGGAAGAGAGCAGCTCTGGAAGCTGATGTGGTCAGGGGATGCCTCGCGCGGAGGAAGGAAGAGGTCAGTCACGTTTCTCAAATGAATGGTTAACCACACTGCGTGTATCACTCATAATCACTGGCCATTGTTTGCAGTGCAACATATTATGAATATAGATAAATAAACAGACATACAAATATAACTGATCCCTCGGGCAGATATAGTGATTAACAACAGAAACATTGTGAGCATGTGTTCTGCAAAACATTACTATATGAAACATATCTATGCATCTACACATATAATTTACACATACAAGTAACATTGTAGGCTTTCAGTCTGTTTGAGTTTTATTTTACCTTTGTAAACTGGCCCTAAAAAGTCTTCAAACTCGAAGCTTCAAGATTCAAATCTGCTGTTGAACTCAAGATGTCTTAGTCTTTGTATTTCTTCTTCCTCAGTGCTCGTTTGTAGAGTATAAGGACTACAAACTGGTCTATCGACAGTACGCAGCACTTTTCATAGTTGTTGGCATCACTGAAAATGAGGTTAGCTATATTATTGGTCAAATGAAAAATGACTGACATAATCAGTAGTTTTTAGTCTGATTTCTGGTCTCCAGCTGCTGTCTTTCACACAGAATGAACTCTCAATCTATGAGCTTGTGCACAACTTTGTAGAGGTGTTAGACAAGTATTTCAGTCGTGTGGTGAGTTCTGACATTTCATACATAACATAAATGTTCTGTTCATTTATGATTAAATAATGCGTTTTCTTTTCTTGACAGAGTGAGCTAGATGTATCCTTTATAAGTGTAATTACACGAAGTATTGTTGACCAAATGACTATGATTGTGTCTTCAGTGATACATGTGTATTTATATGAGGGTTTCATTCCTTAATTCACAATCAGATCATGTTCAATTTAGATAAAGTACATATTATACTTGATGAAATGATCCTGAATGGACACATTGTGGAGACGAATAAGAACCGGATACTGGCACCACTACTGGCCCTGGACAAGATGGCTGAAAGCTGATCCGATGCAAATGAGATCTCATTAATGTTCTGTTCCAAATGATAAATAAATGCTTTTCACTAGTATAAACTTAGGGTTCATCTTCCATTCTTCTACAAAATTGTTTAACATAATTTTGATGTGACCTGTAATAATCCCAATGCATTGTCAAAGATGTCAAAGTTCCTCCTAAATACGGAACTACTAGAAAATCCTAAATACAACGAAATGTGAATCACATTCAGGAACAGCAATGTTCATCATCAGCAGGAAAAAGCAAACAAGACAGTGTTGATACTTTGCAAACATTTTAATGATTATTTTTGGAGCATACACATTTGAAAATATTGGTTTACTTCAAACTGCAACTTGAGTTAAATAATGTTTATAATATACAAAGAAAATACAAGGGAAAGCACAGCTTGCTTTTTGCTTTGTCTTTTTTAAATTTTTTAAATGTGCCTTGCACACAGAACCAGTGTTTCTGTATCTATAGCTTTATTGTAAAATTACACTAATGCACTCAGGAAATTTGATCCTTTAGCAGGGCAATGGACAGTTGAAAACATACTCACACAGTAACGGAAGCAAAAAAGAAAAGCATGTGCATGATTGTATGCAGACAGATTAAGTAAAACAAATGAAAAAAAAAATCCTAATATTTCAAGAATGCAGGCACTAGTAAAACTTAAAACATGTTAAGGAAATGCCCAAACACTCTATAGATAGCTCTACAGAAGCAGGTGTGCTTGTGTCCAGGGTCTGACGCTGCAGATGGTGGTATCTGGGTCTGAAAAAGATGATCTATGCCTAAATTTACACTGAACCTGGAGTAATGACAGTAAACTCAGTAGGTGAGGAGAGACTACCCTGGCTGCCAGTGGCTCAAGCCCTTAAAGCGGTAGAGTGACCTGGGAAAGGCCTTGTAAAGCAGTCAGAGGAGGAGGAGACCCTAATCGGATTCAGGAGCTAGTGGAGCTGCGACGGGGCACAGTAACGGAAGCAAAAAAGAAAAGCATGTGCATGATTGTATGCAGACAGATTAAGTAAAACAAATGAAAAAAAAGAATCCTAATATTTCAAGAATGCAGGCACTAGTAAAACTTAAAACATGTTAAGGAAATGCCCAAACACTCTATAGATAGCTCTACAGAAGCAGGTGTGCTTGTGTCCAGGGTCTGACGCTGCAGATGGTGGTATCTGGGTCTGAAAAAGATGATCTATGCCTAAATTTACACTGAACCTGGAGTAATGACAGTAAACTCAGTAGGTGAGGAGAGACTACCCTGGCTGCCAGTGGCTCAAGCCCTTAAAGCGGTAGAGTGACCTGGGAAAGGCCTTGTAAAGCAGTCAGAGGAGGAGGAGACCCTAATCGGATTCAGGAGCTAGTGGAGCTGCGACGGGACTGTTTTTCCTGTTTATCTGGGTACATGTGAGATGCTTGGGGCGAAAGGAGTTCATCAGAGCACAGCTTTATTTTCTGCAACAAAACACAACAGGCTTCACCAGTATGGGAGTTGGTCAATGATGTAGGGAGAGCATGCTCAGTTGAGGTGGAAGCCCTTCTCCATAGTGGCAGCGAGGAGGCGCTCTCTCATGATCTCTTCGGAGGAATATTCCGGCAACTTCAAGTAGTGCACACACGTGTTAACTGAAGGGTAGCTGGCATCTGTTGCATCAACCTAGAGGAGGAAAAGACAACAGCGGGTATGTATAGAGACAGTGTTAACTTATCTTAAAGCTCCCATATTGTACACCTTTCTGGAGTTTTATTTTAGGTTTTGCTGTCCTTAAGAATATATATTTGCGGTATAAGTACCAAAAACCACCTCAATATATTTTTACAGCTCCTCTCTCAGGAGCGCTGCTGAGAACAGGTCGATTTTGGCCTGTCTAATTAATATTCATGAGCCTGTCTTCTGATTGGCCTGTTGTTTTCTGAGTGACGCACAGCCAGGCCAACCACAGGTAACTAGGGTCAGCCGACATCACAGCGCTAGCTGGAGGCAGAAAAACAAAGGAGAAACTGGAGGCGGCCCATTCAAACCAGCGCAGATTCGGCTACGTAAGGAGCTTAAAATATCATCTTGTTGTGATGTTGGGTGCCAGAATCAACGTAATATAGCCTCAAATTAGAAATTTGATCGCATATCTGCTGCCACTACCAGACAAAAAAACGACGACAGTTGTGGTTAAATGCGATAAAACGAGCAGACTGGACAGAAACAATCGTCAAAAATGCTTGCGTTTGCAGCGCACACTTCTTATCAGAAAAGGTTCAATAAAGTATTGTCTTTTGTTGTTATGGGCGCGTCTACAGATTTCTTGCCATATGTCTATGTTTCTTGCATCTCACGACTATGTCGTGTATGAAATAATGTCTGTGTGCATGTGTGTAAAACAACAAACTGACAATTTAAATATAATCATTTGTAATTGAATATACATTGTTGTGATTAATTGTGGCTGGAACAATAATGTAGCTGTAAAAATAGTTTACTGCTGAAATTAAAATGTATATATATCTTCATCATGACTAGATAGACACGGTGAGTTTGTCTTTACTATACACGTTAGATGTGATCCACCTCATAGTAACAATCCTGTCAGATCGTCCATCCTTTGAGTGAGAGTGTAACGTTACAGGTTGGCCAATCTGGTTTCGTGGTTAAAGTGAACCTTTTCGACATGTTTCCGCAATGTTGTCTGGGGGTTTGGCAAAAGGAGAGTGGAACTGTGGGCGGTGCTCGGGGTGACGGTGTAGTTCTGACGTCAACTTTTTACGGAAGTCACAACTGTTTGTGAAAAATCACAGCTACTTTAGCAGGCTGTGTGCATTTTACTGTGGACTGACTGTTTTGAAACTTATATGGTAGTTACATAGCACCTAGACCTCAGTTATGAAAAAAGCCAGGGAATTTCAGTTTTGACAATATGGAACTTTTAATGGCTGGGTTTTAGCGTTACGGATTTTAGTATGCTTCCATACCTTCCGGACTACTGTGAGACGTGGATGGAGGTTGGCCAGTCCACCAGGGGGGAGGGTTGAGCAGCCTGTGGTGAATTGGAGGAAGGCTTTCCTCTCATCAGATGACATTCCACACAGCACTCGCACAAAGCGCAAGAAACCAGGACTGCAATACAATTAAATCATCAGCAAGAAATACACCGTCTGAAAAGTCGCCAAGTTAGTTACTGAATATATTTTACATTATTTAGAAAGCGGAACATGAAACCTTTTATTTCAAAGAGGTTCACATGTACATACCATAATATTCAGCTATTATGATGTATATGCATTCATACACTACTAATCACAGACCTACCCTCAAGTATGCCATCATAAAATGTGACCCTGGACCAAAAAAAACAGTCATAAGTCACACGGGTATATTTGTAGCAATAGCCAAAAATTGATTGTATTGGTCAAAATTACAGATTTTTCTTTTATGCCAAAAATCATTAGAGTATTAAAGGGATAGTTCACCCAAAAATGAAAATTTGATGTTTATCTGCTTACCCCCAGAGCATCCAAGATGTAGGTGACTTTGTTTCTTCAGTAGAACACAAAGATTTTTTAAACTCAAACCGTTGCAGTCTGTCAGTCATATAAATGTAAGTGAATAATCTTCGTTTGTGTTCTACTGAAGAAACAAAGTCTTCTGGGGGCAAGCAGATAAACATCAAGTTTTAATTTTTAGGTGAACTATCCCTTTAAGTAAAGATCATGTTCCATGAAGATATTTTGTAAATTTCCTAGCGTAAATATATTACAACTTAATTTTTGATTAGTAATATGTATTGCTAAGGACTTCATTTGGACAGTTTTAAAGGCGATTTTCTCAGTATTTTGATTTTTTTGCACCCAGAGATTCCAGATATTCAAATAGCTGTATCTCGGCCAAATATTGTCCTATCATAACAAATTATATACATATATATTTCCATACATCAATGGAAAGCTTGTTTATTCAGCTTTCAGATGATGTATAAATCTTAATTTAAAAAAATTTACCCTTATGACTGGTTTTGTGGTCCAGGGTCACAAATCAAGAAATAACTATAGTGTCTACCTGTCCCGTGTGTAGCCAAGTTTAGGTTCTGTGTAGTTAACAATGTCTTCAGCGGTCCAGGATGGAGACTGGTTGCCACACAAGATCATCTGCACCTCTTTATGACTAAATGAGCTGAGCTTCTCCATAGGAAACACCCTGTTAAAGCCCTCTGTAGCAAAACACATACAGACTGCCATTAGAACAAAAAATCTAATATATTTATTTTAGTTTTACATTTCACATTTAGCAACATATTTGTAACTAATAAGAATGTTGTAACAAATGTTATTTATAATCAACTGATATTCAATATATTCAACTGATATACAACTGATTAGGGATGTAACGATTAACCGCGAGCCGGATGAAAATCCGATTCAAATATGTGACGATTCAAATCGGTTGAGATGCTAAACAAATCGCGATTCATTTAGGGGTAGGAGTTTATATGAATGTATGTCTGAGGGGAACTTACTGTCTTTAGAAAAGTTTAGATGGTATTTTTTTCTTTTCATCTTGCCTCTGTATAATGCATTTTAAGGTTCATAACTGCTTTGTTTACAGCGGAAACCAAGGAAACGCTTTAAGCGCCACCTACTGGCAGAGAGTGAATCTGCATCTCATTCAGCTCGTCTGCTGTGTGTTTCATGCAGATATTTTTATGTATAGTTTCACAAAACTGAAGTCAAACCATTCTGTTTTTGCTTCAAATTTAGAAATTATACAATGTAATTTAGATTAAAAACTGCTCATGTTGCATGTATGCAGCATCTTTGTTTGGATCATGATTAAAATGCAGTGGTTGCCTCTATTTTAAATGGAAAGAGCACAGACAAAGCCTTAGTTTCTTTATATGAAGATACATATTTTATTTCTGTTACTTATTATATTTGGGGCTTGTTTTAAAATGTTAATTTAGTTATTTACATTTACATTGTATTTAAATTTTGTCATTTAGCAGACGCTTTTATCCAAAGCGACTTACAAATGAGGACAATAGAAGCAATCAAAACCAACAAAAGAGCAATAATATACAAGTGCTGTATTAGTATATTATTAAAGTGTTATATTTCAATTTCACAAAGAAACATGCAGCATTTTGTCCAAGCAATAATAAAAGGACACATTTATTTATAATGTCTTAAATCTCATTTTGTAAAAAGAAAAAAAAAAAAA